GGGAAGGAGAAAGGTAGGGAGGGAAGGACGCGGAGAGAGGCGCGGAGGCCGGCTGCAAGGTGTGGGGAACAGAAAGTCCTCCGGCGGTGGGATAAAGATTGCAGGGAGCGCGGAGGACAAATCAGGCGTTCAGACGACAAACAAGAAAACTGCGGAAGGGCAAAATATAAAGAGGAGCAAGGGACGACGGTGAAAGAAGATTGTACTAGTTGTATGGTTAAGTTGCGTGAACAGAGAGAGAGAGAGAGAGGATAGATTAGTGAGGATCAAACAGTTGTAGAGATACGTGTGACGCAGACAGTAAACATAAAGATTAAACGTGCAAAAGCAAATATTATCCGATTACCGAGAAATAGATGCGCGACATTCGTTTGGTGATCAGATCGACTGTAGATGTGAAGACTGCGCAACATTGAACGAGCGTAATCTACGCCTTAGACTGGAAGGTCAGACAGGGAGATAACGCGCAGACCCTGGACGGAGATATGCAGAGAGAGACCTTGAAAGAAGGCCACATACCGTAATGGGTGTGTGATCAACTAGCTTGACAGAGCGCGAAGGAAGAGAGTGAGAGCAAGACGTGTCACGGTGACATTAGACGCGGAGAGATCGGAGAGTATTGCAGAGATAAAGGTCCAGAACCACAAAGGATGGATGCGGACGCATAACTAGGAAGATGATAGAAATGGAAAACAACGGGACTGGTGAGGGAAAAGAAAAACACGTTAGCAGTGTTTGCGAGGGCAGAGAAAGAGAGGGAAAGAGGCAAAGAGGGAGAAATACACAGAGCAGAGCCAAAAAAAGGTTAAAAAAGTAGTGGAAAAGTTTACACAGACCGTGGGAAAAGCAGGGTACCATCACCCTTTGTCCAGAAAGATTCGCACTGATACGAGCAGTCCAGACGTCCTTCTTACCATGGCCGTGGAAAGGTTGCCGCCGCTTGCCCATCTCTTCCAACTGGGCTATCTTCCGACTGCACAGCGGATTCTCAGTATCACAATGAAGATCTACGTATGCTTGGCCTCTTGGTCCCATCGGTAGACTAGATACATCACTCACTCGGAGTTCCCCAGCTCTCCTACGGCACCAGTGACGTCAACTGCCAACTTCCGAGTCTCAATCTACTCCACCTGGAAACCCCTCATTCCCTACAAATGCCACGAGGGCCGCAAAGGCCCCACGTGTCCGTTCGATCGACTCAACGATCGATCCTTCTCCATTCCGATTGCAAGCAGGTAGGTACCCTACATGACCGTCAGCAACACCACACAGCACTCGTTCGCTGGTAAACCAACACCCGCTCACATTCGCCCGCCGCCTCGACGTTGCGGGTATGTGAAACGTCAGTCGTTCCCCGTTTACTGAAGCAGCTCTGCTCGGCGTGGCACAAGCACGCCGCGAGGACGATATGCAAACAGCAGAGAGAGAGAGGGGGGGGAGAGAGAGAGGAAGGAGAAAGTAAGAAGAGACCAAAGCGCGCTTGATTCCCCGCCGCCACCATTGCAGGAAAACGTCATCCTCCGATCATTCGTCAATCACGTTGACGAGCTCATACTCCACAAGAGACAGATTATTATCCTCTTTCACCACAAAAGTCGCAGGCTCTGCCTCTTCCACCAGTCCCCATTTGTCCACTGCCAATCTCATCGAACCCTTGAACATGTCGATCTTCGCATTTCTCAGCTTGATCGTCTCCCCTTCTTTCATTTTGTCCACCTGGTCGTTTCGAGCCGTGAAGACGATGACGCCAGTTTCATCGCCAACTATGCTCTCGGCTATCCGGACCTGGCGTACCTGATTACCATCAGGTCGGGATCGCTGCAGGACCACCTTCGTGGAAACGACATTCACGACCAAGTTGTGACCGGACGTCCCAGGTCGGAGGTCCGCGACCTTGATGAAGACCGGCTTACGCAGCGGTGGCCCCGCCATAGCTCACGAAAACCAACGAAGAACGGACGCAAACAAAAGGGGGGGCGATGTGGTACCTGCTGACGAGACAACGGCGGAGAGGACGTCGCGATGACAACAAACTTGCCGTTTGCCTCCAGACTACAATTCAAGGACGAGGAGGTGGAGGTGTACACACCTTCACAGAGGAAACTGACGTCATAAGACCCAAGAGCGGTGAGACACCAAGGCGGGAGATACAGATGTTGATGTCGCGTGGCACACTAAGGCGGGAGATACAGAGACCAACACGACGGAGGCGCGGGAGATACGAAACTCGGCCGAGAACCACACCCCTGCTACGCCAAGCACAATCATGAACTTCGGAGAAGCGGCACGCACATTTCCTGGTGCTGTCTAAACAACCACAGTGAGACAAATGCTTGGTCCCGAACCGAAGGACGGACCGAAAGAAAGTGCGATCAAGTGCAGGAGCAGGAGCACGCGGAACGAACCTCGATCACACCGTTCGCTACGGTGGAGGAACTGGGCGGGCCATCGTACCAGAACCGGACTTTCCTCAGTGTATTGGGCCGGAATGAGGGTCAAATTACTAAGAGGTGCCTGCACAAGAATCGTGTAAATAAGAGTACTCACACGGCCACTGTCCCGACCAGTCGTGGACGAATCTGGCGGCGATCACCTCCAGAGCTCAGTAACAAAAGTCCTAAGCTCTGAAAGATCGCGAGAATAGAGCAAAACAGTGTTTGGAAGGAGATTGGGGGCGTCTTCCGGCGGTACAGTCGGTGAGCGGTGGAGGCGGAGTGCAGTGGAATTGAATCATTCCGGTGCTCCGGGACGATGAGAAAGGGAGGCACAGCTACTGGCAGGTCTCGGTCTTTGTGTTAGCCAGACCCCCACAGGCGGCCCCAACCCTATACCCTAACCATTAGGGGCAAGGGGTAACATGAAATCTCCCCTTCACAGAGAGGAAAACTATGCTTGCAG